AGCCTGTACAGCAACACCGAATTGGACGACTGGAGGTCCAAGACTAATTGCTGTAAGACCTGCTTCACTCCATCTGCTCTAAAGAAATCACTTATTGGTGCCTGACAGACATGTTTACATGATCGCTCTGCCTGCTGGGGGGGATACAAGAGAAAACTATAAACCCTGTAGACCGGGAGACAAATCTACTTAAAGGAGACAAAACTGCCTAAGTTTGATGCACCGTTAGTGTGAAAATTAGTCAAACTCGTCCAAATTAAAACATTATTTATTAAAGTTCATTTACCTGAAATCAGCCTTTTCAATAAAATACTTCCAACCCCCAAATCAGATTCAGTCAAACAGAAGACCCAATGAGTCATACAGGCTCTGATGCAAGCTTTGGATTCGTTTTATTTTATGCCCCAGAAATATGTGGCATCCCATAAACCTTGAGTCAAGGTATTCCAGGTTACATTGGCTGAGCTATAGAGAGTGAACCAGTATATATATATATATATATATAGTGTTGAAGTCTCCTCCTCCAGGGTGGGCATCTGTCCTCCCCCAAGATGGACGTCTGCCTCATTATAATGGTGTCTTCTTTCCATTTGCTCTCGGGCACCCCCTGGCAGCTTCTCGATTCACTTTCYTGAGACATAAATTTCTATTTTCCAGGGTCCGATTATTTGCATGAGTAAAACTAAGATCAACTTATATAAAGAAAATTAAACTCTTTAAGCTTATTTATTTTCCTTTTAGCATATTCACCTGTCATACATAGCTATGAGTGTGATCATACAAAACATTATTTAAAATTTGACCAAATCAAGTATATGCAAGAAACAAATATCTTGAGAWCTTTGTTTAAAACTCTGTAATTACTTTTGGAGTCAATTCTGTCTTTCTTTTACAACATGTCAGAAACCACTGGACTGATCCACTGAAACACTTTAGTTAACAATGGATGTACGTATGTCTACATCTTTTACTGCTGGATCAGGCACCATCAGAGTTTTCTGCTTGTATTTTACAGTGCTCATGTTTTCAGATTAATTTATCAATGTCTCTCTCTGCAGACCGCCGTGGGGCCTTCTGTAACAACAAGACCTGCAACGAYAATGAGTTCTGTGCAGAGTCGTATACTGGAGAAWACCAGTGCTTCTGTCGGGCCAACTTTGCCTGTGAAATCAGAAACAGTTATACTTATGGTACGACAGTGGAGACAACAACATGACATCAGGCCTGAACTGTTGGAAGGAAACTTCTAAGTGTGATTTTTCTCCCCAACATTGTGATCTTCAGGTCATCCACCGGTCTGCGTAAAGAACCAGGCTTCTCTGACTCTGTACAACTGTCTGCTGGTGGAAAACAACATTGACTACAAAGTCTTACACCTGAACGACCCGAACTGCAGAGGTCAACTGAATGAGACGGACAACACAGTGACCTTCACCTACACAAGTGACACCTGTAGAACACAGATCGTGGTGAGTGGTCCTCTTCAGATGTCCAAATGTCCTCCAGCTCACTGCTGAGCTTCTCTTCTGTTTTTGGGATCTTTTTGTGCTTCTGTCCTCAAATCTGACAGCTGTGTTTGAAACACATTTAGTAACAACATATTCATGTTTCACTTGGCAGGACAATGGCACAAGCATCATCTACAAAAACACCGTCATGAACCAGAACGTCACTGACGTCATCACTCGCCAMGATATGGTCATGATCGACTTTTCCTGCTACCAGACCCAGCCGGACCTCCTGACTACGACCTTCACCATCATCAATAAGTGAGTGTGGTTCTGACTGTCTTTGGTTCTGGTCCTCCTGTCCATAGGTATGTGAAAAATATAAATAAGGTAAACATCAGAGAAARGTTTGGACCCACATTTACAAGTTGTTCACAAACAATGCTTCTCAGATTGTTTTGTGACGTGCATTGGATCAAAATCATGACCGASTTTGTGATACGGAGAAACATTGTTTCATCATCCAAACGAATTGATGTAATGTCTTATTATGGTAAAGCTGCTGAGTTACCTCCACTAGAATCTCCGTTTCTACCTCCTAAGTGATGAACATTGTGACCCAAGTGTTTTTACTTCCCCTTGTTGTGTGGTCATTAATAAATGAATCTGAATCTCTGAATCTGTYTGTCTCCTCTGCAGTGATTATAAAGGGGTCGTTGTATCAGGACCTTGGACTTATACTCTGTTCATGAAGGCCTACATTGACGATGGTTGCACAACACTTGTGGACTCAGATACTCCAATAAAGCTGAACCAGCAGGTCTGGATGAAACTGAGCACTGAGGGTCTTGATGGAGACGTGGTTGTCCTGGTGACCGACCACTGCTGGGCAACTGATGATTCATCACCACTTGCAGCAAATAAACATGACCTGATTGTTGATGGGTGAGATTTTAACCAGAGATTTATTCATCAATGTGTTTTCTGATCTGATCTGATGATTGAACAAAGGGTGTTCCTGTTTGTGAGCAGCTGTCCTGCAGATCCAACGGTGGTGATGAAGGAAAATGGAAGAGAAACATTCAACAAGTTTGCCTTCAACATGTTTGAGTTCTCTGAAGGCTCAACTCAGATCTACCTGCACTGTGAAGTGCACCTGTGTGTGAAGAGCACCAACACATGTGAACCGGTACGTCTCACTGTCAAACACACCTCATGGAGGACATTTCYCTGAATCTGACTCACTCAGACTTTGTCTCTGTCYTTAAATTCCAGAACTGCCCCATAAACCGAAGACGCAGATCACTCAGGTCCAAACATGATTCTCCTGGTTTGATCAGCATGGGCTGGACTAGTTAGGTAAGACTGCTTTAGCTTCTGTTTATTCTGATATGTGTGTGTTTTATTTTAGCTCATTTTTTTGTACTAAATGTATTTAATGTAGAAATCTATCCCCCTGGCATACTTTAATTATTCTGTTTTTTTCTTCGTTCTTTCTATGTGTTTGTACTTGATCTTACATTTGTAAAGATTTTTCAATAATAAAAAAAAGCAGACTTAGCCAAAGTGCGGATCAAGGGCATAAGGAGGATGGGCCAAATACCACTTCAGAGAATTGGGATACATTACACAGTCAAACCTACGGAAGGTCGAGAGCGGACGTTTTCCATTTATAATTTTCCCCATAGTTTTCTCAAGATAATTAGTTAACTATGTTGTTATYGCAAAATAACAAGGACCGTTTTCTCAAGATAACGAGATGAATTTCATTTCTTGAATGCTTATGATCAGTTTCTCAGTGTTCTTGAAACATTGCCAACTSAAGCTGAAAATGTCAGACCGTGGACGCCCTGGCATTGATTAAAGCATTGATCACAGGCTGAAATGACAGTTTGTCTTGTACAGATAACTTTCATCAAGATTTCAAGAACAAAACCATAACTCATTATCCAGACAACACCATCAGGAAGTTAAGTCATTATCTCGAGCAAACGATCGTCGTTGTTTCGAGATAACGACATTTTTATGCATGAGAAAAAAATAAAATGCGAAAAATGTCCGCTCTCGTTTTCCGTACAAATCCTTCACAGAGAACGTGCATTTGAAGCAGTGTGAGYGTATTAGTAAATTTATCTCCTGTTGTCTTCTCAGGTGGTTTCCACGTTAACTGGACTGATTGGCAGGCTGCTGACCTCCATGATGACCCCTGACCTTTGAYTGTGATCAGATTGTGTTTTTCTTCTTATTGAATTGTAATGATTGTTAATCAGGGTGACAGTGATTCAGGGTGTTTTAAATTGTTTTCTTGTAGCTGTTATTTATWCAATCTATCCGTGTTTCAGGGTTATTTACGGTTTTGTTTTATGTTATTTATTTTCAGATCATGTTAAACTTTACCTGATTCATATTGTRTAGATTAGCAATCAGCTCTTTTAAATTTAAAACAATTCTGAAATAAGCTAAAATATTTATTTTATTCATGAATGYTATGGAAATTATTTTAAGCAGCATTAATAAAAAACAAAAACAAAACAGTTTGGTCTGTAGTTATTGCCGTCTCCTCGCATGAGGGGGACGGATCAGCTGATCTCTTCTTGCACAGCTTACATGTTTCTCGTAGGGGCTGTAACGCAAATGTGGAAACGTTGTTTCCAATGTGAACTCTGAACATCAAACCCCTCCTTTTCCCTTCCCCAGACTCAAGAAAAAAAACATTGGGCCTCATGCAAGAACATGTTCGTATTCTTCTCCTAAATTTCTCTTACTTTTGTTCGTACAAAGGGTTCGTACGAACATGTCACGTCAGATTCAACAAACTTTTCTAC